GTTTGGTCCATAGGATAGTTTTTCATGAGGTTGTCTCACTGACATCAGCAGTTGACTTTTAGAGCAGCGTGAAATGAAGCAGGGAAAGATCATTAATGCAAGATGGAAAACGTGTCCAATGGGAAAATCGTAATTTTGTGTTTGAGGTTGCGTCTTTGGGGTGGCGTCTTTGGGGTTGCGTCTTTGGGGTTGCGTCTTTGGGGTGGCGTCTTTGGGGTTGCGTCTTTGGGGTTGCGTCTTTGGTGTTGCTTCATGTCACCTACGGTGTTATGCAGGGGTTGCGGAAAGCACTAGCAAGAATGCATCTGACAAAAGTCAATGGGACTAAACTGAAGTGAAACCACAGCAAAGAAGTTCACATCCGGGAAAGTGGTTTAAAAGCTTGAGACAACATTTCGAATCAGTGTGTTAAGTACTTATATAGTGGATTGTGGCTTCTCTTGCTAATTCTGCTTCCTGCGAGAAACTGGTTAGGCATGCAAGGGTTGTGGCAGAGAACCTGCAAGCCACAAGTTATAAGCATTATGTAATATCTGTCTTTATTGCATTTGTGCAATCGTGTCATTTATAACACCACAGTATACACAGAGGTGGATAGGTCCATAGGTTCAGGTCCAGAAAGTAAAAATGCAGACCATGGTTTTGTCTCGACCAACCAGTTGAGTATAGAGTCACAGAGTACTCAACTGTTGGTTGAAACAAAATTTTGGTCTGAATTTTTACATTCCGGATATGAACTATCCACCTCTGACTCAGGGCAACCAGAACACCCTGCAAGTACGAGCTTCCAAGCCTGTGACACGGAAGTAATTTTATAATATTCAATAATAAATCGTTAATGAAGATCATTTTGAACTAAATGGTTAAATACGTGAAATTCCCATGTTATTCCAAGTCATAGATCCAAGCACAACTCATCTGAACATCTGCCTCAAGAGAGAACTTCATGTGTCATAACAGATAAGGCCTTAGGAAATTTGGAGGATTATTTTTCTGGTGTTTTCTATTCAAAAACCTAAGGAACATCCATCCATCTTCCAGCTGGGAAACTGCGGAACATTTAACTCAAATGTTCTCTTGTCTTAGCTGACTGTGTCTTGGCTGCCATTGTTATTTATCTTTTTAATGTGTACCAGTGTCAGTCTGAGAGCCTGTGCATTACGTATGTACGCGAGTTTCAGTTCTTTATTTATGTGTTCATGACAACTCAACGCTGGCCCCTCCACAAGAAAAGCAAGCAAAATAAAATTGTAAGCAACTATAAAACCACTGAGGAGACTGCCAACGAGTTTCCGTCTCACACCATGGCATCCATTGTCTTCTTGACTGGTGTTGAGGTGATGACACTGCTATTCAAATTTCTTAAGCAATTTTTTCCCCGCTCCATCTCACTGTGCAGCACGTGTGTAGGAAGGTGCTCATAGCCCAGTTTTACAAAGGTGGGATTAGCTTTGCCCTATTTTTTCAAGGAAACAGCTAATTAAAAACAAGGTAAAAGGCTACAGATAGCATAGTTGTTCAAGAACTGGACTTTTGATAACATACTGCTATAGTACTAATTGAACAGGGTGGAACATTCTGGAGGAATGTTGTCTATACGAAATCAAATAGTCAGTACTATCGACCAAAAACACATTTTTCTTTGATTAAAAACTCAATTATTAAGCTCGATTAATAGGGCAAAGTATATAAGTTGTAAGATTGTTTGAGTAAAAGTATTTTTTGTGACCAATTCAATGAATACCTTAGACAGGGTTGCCATCCGTGTGCAAGGAATCTGATATTTATTTCTCAGCTGAAGGGGTGCACAGCTCATCCTTGAACCTAGCAGTGTATCAACTGCTTTTCTTTGTAATGGGTTACGTGTCTGAGGAGACGTTTGCTGTATAGGTTAGTGCCTTTGGTTGAGAAGGGAAGGCTTGAGCTGATTTTGGTGGGGAGACGGTATCTGCAGCCCAGCCGTGACACTGGCTCTTTCCGCAGGTAACTTTTGCTGTTTGAGGAAGCAATAGGTGTATTTCAGCTCAACATATGTAGCTATTCCACTACCTGCCTTGATATTTTTCTTGCATTTCTCCCGTTGTTTTTTTTTTTTTTTTGCTTTATTTTTCTTTTCTGAATTTTGACTGTCACGTCGCTCTGAGGGTGGTGGTTTCTTCACAATATGCCAAGTGTCTGAAAGGCAGTCGATGCGGCCTGCATGCATTATGTAATGCGTCGTTTTCGCCTGCCAAGCTTCCCGGTGACTTTTAATGGGTCTCTGGATGCTTTTCTGCTTTCGCCCCCCCCCCCGGTTGCCACGCTCCCTGTCTGCAGCGTTTGTGAGGGCACGTTCCCCCATTCCGCTCCTGCCCTCTTGCGTTATGAGTTCCTTGCAGCAGCTGTCGCTAAGACACCTCTGGGCCAAAACTTTGTCTTGAATGTTTTGTGAACATTGGCCTCCATATTTCCCTTGAGGCAAAATACCACAACCTACTCTGGAAGGGATTAGTACAGAAATGTATATAAACTGGGGTGCCCAGGTTCGACTCTGGACATGTAAAAAAAAAAAACTAAAACTATGATGTATAGTTACTCAAAAACAGAGCCTTTCCCTTTCCTATAGTTAAACTATACTTGTTCACTTGCTTCATGCCTTGCTTTTTCCAAAATCTTAACGGCAAGTTGAAAGCGTCATTTTCTCTACAGCTATTATAAAAATTGTCAGCTTTGTAAAACACGTGGCATGTGCTGTGTGCTCACGTACCTTTTAACATATTGGTCTTCCAGCGTGAAAATTGCCGTTAGAATGATGAAAGCATAGCTTTTGTAACATATCATGAAACTAAAGGTTGGTGAGAAAGAACAGCATGATTTTGTTTTTTTTTTCTCTCTCCATATGTGGAAAAATGATGCCTCCCACCCAACTGGCTGACAGATGCACGCTGCGCTCACAGCTCTGTTTAGCTGTGCGGGGGTGTTGGTGTTTGGTTTGTGAGGCGGGGCATGGTGGAGGCTTGACTTTCGTTCTCTGTCGAGTTCCCTCCTACTTATTCCTTGCGCTGTTTGGACCCGGTGACCCCAGGCAGTCGCCCTACCCCCACCCTCCTAGGCCTCAGGAAGACTAGCTTGAGACAAACCAGAGAATATGGACTCTTAGGGTTCTCAGGTGGGTTTCGTCAGAATGTGAGCTCCTGCTAGAGACCTTCCATGGAGTGCAATTACTCTGTCCATTTTCTGTTGTTTTTGAGATGAGACCTAAAGTCAGGCTTCCTCATCATATGTTACAGCATTGGGAACCAAAACTCACTCCGTCTTCACGTAATCCAACCAAGAACATTTTGTTGAATTCCAGAAACTCACTACGAACTTAATCTTGTCCACGTATTCTGAGTAGGAGTGAATTCTGGGAATTTGCTCCTCAGTTGTTATGACCTGCTGAACTAAAATTCGGGTTGTAGTTACAATAGGTGTAACCCACCTTAAATCAACTTTAAGGACATTTTTATGCCTTTTCCTTCTATATATTCGACGTAAATGATTAACTTCAAAAGTGTGTGGTAACCCAATTAGCATTCTGAGGCAGTCATGCTAGGATGAATGCTATATGAAAAATGTATAGCAATGAGCCAGATCTTTCATGGCGTTATGTGATCTCTGACTGCTCTATTTACTAAACACTCTGCTACACAGTTAGCATATCTAGGTAACCAGGGGCAATGATTGGATCCTATGATTAATTGTACTGTTGCTCTCAAAAGAGGCTGAAAAATCGAATATTTGTAGATTAGTATAAGCTCGGAAATCAGGATGATAGCTCTCAAAATTATTTTATGTACCTCTGCTGTTTTTTGATTTGTATAGAACCAATCTGAAGAGGACTTGTTTGATTTGAAGAGGTATGCTTGTCATAACCGACTACATGACCAGTTTTGTGGAAGCTAGCTGCCTCCGTTGTACCATCACGTGGATTTGGATCAGAACAGGAGCAGAGTATGACGGGTTTTCGTTCGACACAGAGTGCCCCATAATGGACTCAGCGGGCCTTCGATAATAAAAACACCACTCTGTGGGTAGCGGATGCCTGGACGTGCTCGTACAGCCCTCTGTGGCTGCTTCAGTAATTCATGCCATAGATCACACCAATAGCCTCCGCTCCCTCTTGAGTCGTCAGACTGTGTATAAATAGTGGCTGTGACGTTATTTGTATGTCTAGTTCGTCGGGCGATCTGTTGTGTCTCTGAGTGTTTTATGACATGTTGTTGCATTCGGTGCTGCCCAATAACGTTTGAATGTCTCACGTAGGTAGCAGTTGGGCACAGGGCTTACTGTGTGCTTGTGTTGATGTTTTCTGTCTGAAGCTTAATACACTTATATGGTTTGCCGACCTGTGCGAAAAAGTCTCAGCGTAATAAATAAATGTAGTGAGTTTCCTTACATTTCAGTGCCATCAGTATGCACAAAACTGTCTCTGGCGACCGTTGATGTTCATGAATATTCATAAACACAGGAATTCAGCATGGCCTTCGTTAATGGTTTGCAGGGTCAGGGCAAGGGTTCCGGATTCTCAGATTCTTCGCAGGAAGTTGACGGTCGCGCTGAACATTTTAAGTTGCTTAGTTGACACTTTTATTCAAGCATATTAAAAAGTTTTGCTCATTTATATGGTTTGGCAGTTTAATGAAGCAGTTTAGGTTAAGTATTTGATTCAAGGGCATTACATCAAGGTCCCTCTGAGGACTTTAGCTGTCTGGTCTTACAGCCCCTGTCCTTAACCGCTACGGTAAACACTGCAGATGGAATGTGTGCTCTGTGCCTTAGTAGCTGCTATGTGGCACTCTGCCCAGGTACCTGTGTGTAGTAATTCTTTGTCGCAGTTGTGTAATGCCCATTGTTGTTTTACTGGATTTACAGAAGTACAGATACCTGGATTGTAACAGTGTCCTGCCCTCTCCCCCCGCCCACCCCCTTCCCCCCCATTCCATCTGTTCTTCACCCCATCCCTATCTTTTTTGCTTCAGTCCCTTTTCTTCCAGCCAGCCAAACCAGTATCTCCAACATGCGATCATGGGAACCAGCCTGGTAGTTAATGGTGTGAGAGTTCAGGTCAGTGACATACATCTCCCGTCTTCCCCACGCTCAGGTCTCCGTAGATAGGCTCTGATGAATGGGTTCGATTTGGCTCGAGTGGTTGGGCGATAAACACCTTGATAGCAGAGGTGGTTTCTCAAGGCGGATGGGGGGGGGGGGGGTCCTAATCTAAAGCCACACCTCTCACCCCTCCTCTCCTCATAGCTCGGATCCATTTCTCTACCCACACTTCATTTAACAGCGGCACAGTGGCACCTGACTCTGGATGCTTCCAGCGCCGCTGTCACTGTCCCCGTCAGACACCTTCCAGGCCACATTAAAATCAAAACCTTACTCTCCTCTTTAGATCCCTTTCTTTTTGTCTAACGCACTTACTGACTCCCAAGTTTATAACTGACACCATTTCTAGTTTAGCGAAGTAATAACTGCCCGGGGTGTCGGTTTGACATAATAATTTAAGAAACTGCAGAGAGCCGTTTTTTTCGTGCGCTCTATAAAGAAGTATTTTCATCTGAAATGCAATTAGCCGTTGTAGTTTCATCTCACAAACTGTTTTTTTGGTCTTATTTTTAGTGGACGATTATGTGGTAGTAAACCCTTGGAAATGTACATTTTTTGCTCCTTTCAATGGGTGTAAATCACAAGATGGATAACAGTTTATCTGGATCGTTGCAACGAAACAGGTTATCTTCAATATTCAATATTTTTAAGGGCTGGCGCAGTGCTCGGACTGGGAGTGTGGCCCTTGGTGTTTTTGGGCATGTTAATCGCTTTGTGTCCCCGTGTGAGGTGATCACGGTGATCTTCTCACATTTGTCACTGTCACCTTTGTTTACAAAAAAAAAAAAAAACCTCACAGGTTCGTTAAGAGCTGAGCCTTTAATTAAGAAAGGTCCTCTTGCCATTTTCGATTACTTGGGAAGGAATATGCGTCGGACCTCGTCTCGGAGAAACAGTTTAAAATCCCCCCCAGAGTCACACAAGTCCCATGAAGCATTTTAGTCAACTTTTGAACTTGGGGTCCTGTAGAATGCCAAGGCTCACTGCCGAAACTATTCACAGTCTGGGTCTGTGTGATTGTGAGTCACTGTCTCCCTTTCAAAGTCCTGGTCATTTTCCTTTATCCGGATCCCATGATTCATCCCCCGCTGTCATGTCCTTTTTAATGGACCTCTGACTTGCGTCTCAGTCGGTATCTGTTAGAGTTCCAAGAAGTTGCTGGGCTGTTGCAATGTAATGTGATTTATTTCTTTGACTTTTCACTCGTGAAAGGGAATTGTATGCATCTGTCAGAAAGGCGATGGATTCACGCGCCTTGCCTGTACGGGGGTCTCGGATGAACAGCGTCAGCAGAAAGTTCGATGCCATATAAAGAGCAAGCCTGCTTGCCACAAGTGTACACAGGGTTCATAAACTGCCGTCCAACAGATGTTTGTGTTAACATCAGTGTAAAATTACCCCCACAGCCGCCTCCCCTCCCCAGAGTGTTGCTGATAATGGCAGGAAGTGCTGGGATGTGACAACGGGGTCGTTTGAGGCTGTCCGGCTGCTTCCACAGGAAGCTGAAGGAGTGGGTAGAATAGGGAGGTCAATCACACCTTCCAAACAGAGAGGAGAGATTCAGCGATCAAGCTGCTTCCAGTCACGGCGGTACGTGCATCGTGGTACGTACCAGTACATTAATGAACAATATGGAATGTATCAGAACATTAAAGAACAGAATGGCACGTACCAGAACATAAATGAGTAGAATGGTACGTATCAGAACATTAATGAGTAGAATGGTACGTATCAGAACATTAATGAGCAGCATTTTACGTACTAGAACATTAATGAGCAGCATGGTACATATCAGAACATTAATTAGCAGCATTTTACGTACCAGAACATTAATGAGCAGCATGGTACGTACCAGAACATTAATGAACAATATGTAATGTATCAGAACATTAATGAGCAGCATGCTAAGTACCAGAACATTAATGAGCAGCATGCTAAGTACCAGAACATTAATGAACAATATGGAATGTATCAGAACATTAAAGAGCAGCATGGTATGTACCAGAACATTAATGAGCAGCATTTTATGTACCAGAACATTAATGAGCAGCATTTTATGTACCAGAACATTAATGAGCAGCATGGTACGTACCAGAACATTAATGAGCAGCATGGTACGTATCAGAACATTAATGAACAGCATTTTATGTACCAGAACATTAATGAACAGCATGGTACGTACCAGAACATAAATGAGCAGCAGGGTACGTACCAGAACATTAATGAGCAGCATGGTACGTACCAGAACATTAATGAGCAGCATTTTATGTACCAGAACATTAATGAGCAGCATGGTACGTACCAGAACATAAATGAACAATATGGAATGTATCAGAACATTAATGAGCAGCATGGTACGTACCAGAACATTAATGAGCAGCATTTTACGTACCAGAACATTAATGAACAATCTGATATGTACCAGAGCATTAATGAACAACATAGTATGAACCAGAACATTAATGAACAATATGGTATGTAGTAGAGCACTAATGAACAACATGGTATGTATCAGAAAATTAAAGAAAAATATGGTATATACCAGAACGTTAATGAAAAGTTTGGTATGTACCAGAACACTAATAAATAATACGGTAGATACCAGATCATTAATGAACAATTTGGTACATATGAGAACATTAATGAACAATTTGGTACATATGAGAACATTAATGAACAATTTGGTACATATAAGAACATTAACGAACAATTTGGTACATATAAGAACATTAACGAACAATTTGGTACATATAAGAACATTAACGAACAATTTGGTACATATAAGAACATTAATGAACAAAGCCTCCTGTTGCCTTTTGCAACAGGAGGCTTAAAGGAAATACCGAATCCCTGAGAAAACATGCACTGAGATCTCACAGAGAAACAATATCTGCTTATTCTCCTTTTGCACACCTAAGGGTAGCAGGACTTGCATGTACATGTTCCTACCTGTGCTGATCACCTCCTCCTCCCAAGTATGACTTATATATCTTTATGATTGACATTGTAGGTGTTCGTTTCTGGCTCTGTTTTTTAGTAGGTGCATGTTAGTTGTTCGAAATGCATCATGTACATAAACAGGCAATAAGTGGTGGAATTTATTTCCTGTTCCACCTTCTCCGTGCGTTTCTTGTCATCCTTGTGCTTTTTTTTTTTCTCCTTGCAATTGACATGCAAATCAGGGTCAGGAGATGAGGCGGTTCTCATGTTCCGCTTGAGGCTTGGGCCTTTATGTGGCCAAGGCACAAGCAAGGGGTGGGGGGTGGGGGGGGGTGACAGAACACAAAGTTAAAATCTGCTGAACAGCCCAGTGATGATGGGGGTGGGGTGCATGTCATTGTATAGTGGAGGGTGTTGAANGGGGGGGGGGGGGGGGTGACAGAACACAAAGTTAAAATCTGCTGAACAGCCCAGTGATGATGGGGGTGGGGTGCATGTCATTGTATAGTGGAGGGTGTTGAACCACAGCTGCTGGTGCTGGAAAATCAGCCGCCCGTAGATGTCTCCAGCTCAGGTGTCTGGAAGACCTTGCTGCTCTCTCCTGCTGAGAGACTGGTGGCCAAGACCTGGGCCCACTTGCTTGTTTACATTCCTCCTGACCTCCTTCTCCCGCAGATGGTTGTTTTTGTTTCGTTCCTCCATTTACTCATTCTCCCTTTGTGCACCTAAGCTGTGCTGAACTCATAGCAGTAACATCACCACCACCAGCAAGGACCCTCTGGAGCCTGAGCTCAGATCCGCAGCCTGTGTGTGTTACTGAAAAAAAGTAATAATGAGGAGCTTAAAGTGCTCTCAGAGCAGTATGGCTGTGAATCGGTTTGACTGTTCACCTGCGTCTGCTGGCTGTGCCGGAGGATTTAAGTTGATTCTCCAAGGGCTCTTCCTTTAGCACTGATATGCAAATTGCCACAGCTACAAAACTACCCAGGTTTCTGTGCATAGGGGTGGGGGGGGGGTATTGTGACCTTCAATGCCTCACGCTCAGAATGCGAAGTGAATATGGAACACGCAGGAATAGGAGAGGTAAAGGGTGGAATGGAACGAAGACAGTGACAGACTGAGGAGCGGGGGAAAGCAAGGGAAAGCAAGGGAAAGTAGGAGAAAGCAAGGGAAAACAAGGGAAAGCGGGGGAAAGCTAGGGAAAGTAGGGGAAAGCAAGGGAAAACAAGGGAAAGCGGGGGAAAGTAGGAGAAAGCAAGGGAAAGTAGGAGAAAGCAAGGGAAAGTAGGAGAAAGCAAGG